ATTCAATGTCGTTTTATTCGTGTCACTCGGTTCTTCAATATGAGACGTCGATTCCCTTCGATAGGGTCTGTTATTTCTGGTAGGTCTGGAACCTTTTAATAAGGGCCCAGTGTACCCTGGGGCCCTGGTATTTGGCGCATGCTGCTGAGGCAGTTTGTCAAACGGTCTTGAATTCGACGTCGAGGGCTTCTTCGGTCTTGGCCTCACGGGGAGGGTGAAAGTTGGTCGACTGGGCGCACTGTCTATCGTAGGCTTCTTATTACTCGAATCTATGGAGATATAATATTTTTTTTTAAGAATTGCTGCCCACAAAAATGGCCACAAATATGGGAAATTAAATTGTATTTAATAATTAATGAATAAAAGAATAATTGTTACTCGAATCTATGAAAATGTAATATTTTTTTAAGAATCGACGTTGCCCACTAAAATGGCCAAAATATAGGAATCGATTATTACCCTTAAAACAGTTTATAAGAAATTTTGTCGACTATAGAAAAATGTTTTCTTAAGGGGAATCAATATTACCCATTAAAATGGCCAAAAATCTTCTTATATAACAATGGCAACTTTTTATTATATGTACCAAGAGTCGAGTCGAAGCCATTGGCAAATTTGCTCAGGTAATTCAGTTTATGCGAATTTTCAAAATCATCCTTTTGGTCGGTGGTAGCAAAGTCTGACCCAGGGAATGATTCCTTGGCCCTAGGCGGTGGGTCGCTGTGATGCGGTGGGAATAAATCAGTATAGCCATGAACGTGGCAACTACAGCAAGTCGGTACTTTGAAGATGTCCATATGAAGGCCCAATTTGCTGTCCCAAGTCAACAGCCTGTGATAATTGTACACCTGCACGCAGGAGGACCGATAGTTCTCAGAAATGAACGAGCAGCTAGTCTGAGGATTCCTAAAATGAAGGATTACAATTTTATTATTATTACAAAATTAAATATAAATTATTTACAATATAATTTGTACAATTTTATAAAATAGTCGATGTTTTATTTTAACTTACGAGCATTTCTCTAATCGTAGGGTCTGTGTATGCTCGCCGGTGTTTATTATGTACTTCCATATACCGGAAGCTGCTCTGGCTAGCTGGGGTCGGGCGTATTTTATCACCGATGGACAAGTGAAACCCTCCTCGACGTTCTCAAATGGCGAACTCACATCAGAACGTCTAAAAATGATTCAATGAAGTCAGTCAAAATTGAATATATATTCTTGTCACGAAAGTCCATATCTGTGCTAGAATGGACCAGAGATATGGACTCTCGTGACAGGAACTATAAAGTGACTTTCAAGATTCTAGAGAAATCTTTTTTCTTTCTCAATTATAGGAGAAAGACAACAAGATTTTATAGGGAATTTGGGCATTTTGGGTCCAAAAGGCCTCATCTTCTGATGGTAAGGAATCATTTGGTGCCACAATTTCTATTATTTCACAGAAAATGATAGAAATATAGTGAAACGTAGTAGAAATTGTTACATTAATTGAATGATTTCATGTATACTTGTTATGATTGTTACATAAATTAGATAGAATCTCACCTCCTAATCTCGTTGCTCTCATATCGATTCTCATACTTATTCTCCAGTGGCAACGAGATAGGTAGACTCTCTCCAGACTCATCGAAATCCTGAGACTTATAATCAGCCAACAGAGCAGCCACCATCTCTTTATTGCTCCTCAAACTCCTAGTAATTGCCTCGCTGAAAAAAAAAGTTTCACCCAATTAAATCTAATGAAGAAATCATAATAACAGTTGAATTAATTCTAAACGAGAAGAAGAAGTTGTCTCTATGAATAAATTATCCCACGAGACGAGGAAACGAAAGTCGATGCTTTCGCCAATTGCCAAGCTTCCTTCCTCGTTCACTTCGTAATTCTTCATTAAAAAGCAACGAATTATGAGAACGAATTGCGCAATTCGAGACAATTCCTAACTGCGTACAGGAAAACGACGCTTTCTTCTGTTTACTACTATTTTTTTTTTTTAAATAAGGAAACCGAGGAATTACGTGCGTCTATTGTGAAACTACAACAATTATAGTGTAAATCATATCAGAGAAATTTCACTATGACTCACGTGTCTTCACATTACGTAATCATATTTTTACTTAATTATGTAG